TAATTCAGCCAGTGAGCTTCTTGTATCAGTCACAGAGATTCAAAGAGCATAACATTAGTAGCAGACTGGATATAAAACGTTGCAACGGACAACTCCTTCTTGACCAGTTCCCAGTCTTCCTCTTTTAGGTATTGCACAGAGTACAGAGCATCAACCAGTCCTGGAAAACTACTCCCGGCGTACGCGTTGTGGGCACTGGGAGCAAAAAGTACGTGACTGAAAAAAACAACAACATTAGCCTGTCTCAGAAATAGCATATAGGGTTAGCTGCAAAGAATCTATTTGGAAGTGCTGGAGTCTCAATGGTTAATTGACTTTTCGGCGATTTCGAACGCTTTTGCAGATGTCAGATCAGAGCAATCAGTAAAAAAAAGAACGCTTCGACTGTGAGCTGACAGTTAGCATTGTGACTAATTCACAGCTATCACTTACATCTTACCCAGACCTTTGGTGTAGCCCTAGTAAACTAATTAAGACATTATAAAGAAAGGCACATTTGCTGGATCTTGTTGGCATGAAATAACCAACTTGCAACTGATAAAACGGGCTGACTCGATGTTCCATTACTTCACAAATTTAGGACAATAAATAATGTGACGTATCTTGTTTTGATGGAATGAAAGCAAAGTGCAACGTTGTTTTGGTCACGCGATGAACTGAAAGATTCCTTTGAAATGAGATGTTACAAAAATGCTCGCCGACATAAACAGAAGATCTAGCAAAAGGTGAAAGTGATACTTAAACTTCCATCACTCACCGCATGTAAGGCCTTCCCGGCAGTCCTTGGGGGTTGATGAAAGCTCTTTCTATCTGCATTAGACGATCATTGGCTATTCGCAGGGCTAGAGGACTGGAGAAAAGACTTTAATTAGTTTAATTTAAACAAATCACAAAAAATGTTTTCAGTTTCATAAATATTCTTTTACTTACTCATTTTGATCCACAGAATTCAACCAGCCATTGAATGTGGAGGCAGCGTTGCTAAAGTTTTTCACGGCGGACATGAAATGATCTGTTGGTACAGGTAAGAGTAAAATCAGTTGTCATGAATTTAATCATGTTTGTGCTTTACCAGAATGTTTGAAACTCTTTTCTGTTCTTCCTCAAGAGCCAGAGCCTGTTTGCTTTTTGCGCCAGCCGGTGCTATGGGGATGACAGACCGGCTCAAGAGTCTGAGCAAATGTAGATTGAATCGGAACAGCGATGGCTGAGATAAGGGCAGCGGTAGATGTATTAGAGGTGGAAGGAAAGGTAATTTAAGAATGGTAATAAAAATCACTGAGAGCCAAATTAAATGCAGGGAAATCTTGCAGCCACTGCTGTAATAGTCCTTATACAATTTGCAGCCTTTCCGAAATTTCCATTGCACTGCTTATCTTGCTAGCAATCTTCTACCCAGATTTTCTCACTCTTCAAGACAAAGCTGAATTTGGTAAAGTTTATTTTGCTCGCTAACCTAATTAATGATTTCCCAAAAATTTCTCAACATCATCGCACACTGTCGTTTTGAAACAAATTCTCAAAGCTGTGTTGCGCAACAGTGGCTGAAAATACTCAATAAATTATCCATTTTTTGTTCAACATTTCAAATGTTGTTATAAGTTGTGAAATGCGCCAAATATCTGGTGAAAATTTATTAGTCGATGAAATATTGAGAAGTCGCCGCTCACAGATAGATGTTTGATAGGAACATAGATATGTTATGGTGTGATATATGGACAAGAAATTCTCACTGAACTAAACGAAACGATACTAAAGAACCAACGACCAACCGAGAGTAATATTCTGCTGCGTCAGTATGTTCTCGTATTTATTGTTGATGTCCTTAGCATAAAAAGTCAACCTGTCAGCATACTTTATGCAGTTGAAGGGAATCAATGGCTGATCAGCCAGAGTCAGACTGATCTGAAGCCATAGCTGAGCCACTGCGCGATGATACTCAAAATCGCGATCAACAAACGTCTTCATCCAGTGAAATGTGTCGTGCACGCTGTGGTAGACTGGGTAGTTGGAGACGCTCCACTTTTTCTGCACACGGGAAGGAATATTAGATTTCATATGAGCATGTTAGGTTTAGTCTCGAGCGTGGGACAGGAAACATATGAATCCCCAATGAGATTAAGCCCCATGACTTCCCAAACCAAACATCATGCGGGCGCTATATCCACTGACTCAATATGAACAAGGAATTTGCTAGCAATGTAGGTTAGTAATGAAGAATCAGTCAACCTCGGAAAACACCAAGAGATACTTTTAAGGCAGTTTTGGATGTTTGACTCAAGTTTTGCGCTTGTTTAAGGTAACCTTCTTATATTAGAAATAAATATTTATAATCTTTTTTTAAATTCGGGGCCAATTTTTTTAGAAGGGGGCCCAACATTTCCAGTAAGGGAATTTTCGTCCTTTATAACCATGTGGAAGGGATTCTGCACGAGTCGAAATTCACCAATATTAATATTCCGTTCCTGGACTCGGATTTCCACGCAGAATCGAAAAGGTGTTCTACTATGGGAGAACTGCACGGTTCAAATTTGGAGGAATAGCCTAACCTTGTTATAAGTATACTCGAAGTAGACTGAAGGTATTCCCAGCCTGAAGTAGACAGTGGTGTGGTCACTTCCGGATCCTACTTTGGTCACACTGTTGGTAAACAAAAACGAAATAGTTACTACAAAGCTCCGAAATGAGACATCCTACTGAAGATGTCTTCAGTATACTGTAGGTGGTTTTAATGCGACTCGCTTGAACAGAAGCCAACCTCTAACACGTTGTTGTAGCTCGATGATAAAAACTGGCTATCTGTTAACAGCAGCTTCATAGATCGCAGCAGCCTTAGTCCGTAAGCTGAGAGCCGAAAAATTGGGTTTGTAGCTCTCTTGAGGGGAACAGCCTAAAAATGTCTCATCTTAATCTTTGACTATCAAGCATCATAAAAATGTATGATAGCAAGGATAGAACAGTAGCTTTCACGTTGTAAATCGAATTTTAAATTTTGCCCCACATACCTTTCTTTTGCCGCCATCTTGGATTTCTGGGGAAGGCTCCAAAGTAGTTTGTATTCCTCTAATATGAACGAATCGTGTTTCAAATGCAAACTTTAAACGTACCGGAACTACAAACATGATGTCCATTTGTTCCCGTGCTTGAATCATAAGGGACGTCACAACGCCTGATTATTGGTCACAATATGATCATTTCGCACTTATAATCATTGCAAAAACATTGTAGGGTACGGGTCTCAAAATTACTTCATGAAAAGAGGGCAAGCTAAGTGGATAAAATATTTGTATAAATTGCAAGTTTGGTGAAGCACAGCCCTCAAATTCATCTGCCCGTTTCCTACATCCAGCCCCAGTTCCCAAATATGCGGTCTCACAAACGAAAGTGTTTCCTCTGCACTATGATTGATCGATGGTGCATGAATGCATTGTATGTGGTTGTTAGGGTCCTAGGTTAGCCCAGGAAGCTTCTTCACGAGTATTTGGCTACTACGTCATCAGAGACCTACATCCATAAGGAGTTGGCTCCAGTAGCATCAAAGGAGACATCAAAGCTGTAGGAAAGCTGGTGGATCAGCTCAAGGATGTTATCACCTAACCATGGAAACAAGATGCAGAATTTACGAGCTTGTCCACGCCGGTGTATCAAAGCGACAACAGAAGTGATGACTTATTGCGGGCCAAGCGAGCAACTTGCGGTAAAGAAGGCAGTGAATGACTTTGTAACGACCGTTGCTCGTCTAATCCCACTTCAGATTACTTAGAACCAGTGAAGAAAGCCAAGCTTAAGTCTGTTAAGGATCTGTAGCTGTGCGTAAGGTTCGCAACTAGGATGTAGTACTTCCTCCTCGTATGGATCGTAATGTATTTGCTCTGATGGCACTTGTCGGACAGTTTCGTCCACTTCCTTGGTCTCTTGCCGATCCTTGTGGACTCCCTTGGAAAACAACTGCGCAAAGCCACACTCTCCCAACAGCTAGAGTGACGCATTACAGTCACCGAGAAATACCCAGATCGTAGAGAACGCAACCAGTATTTTTAGTATACCTAGAATGGTGGTCTTGCAGAAGTTGAGTATCCTGGCCCTCTGGAGGTATGTCTCATGTGGTCGCTAAGAGAGCGTTTGGGTTGGTAATGCGCACCGGCAACAGGCACTTGGACATAGTGTTCGACATGTATCGCGAGGTATCGATCAAGAATGTCGAAAGATTCTAAAGAGTGTCTACCTCTGACGGTGAACAATACAAGAAGCTACTTCCTGCCAATACTGTGTTAGACTACGAGTAGTCTTCTTTCGCTTAGTCCGTGGTGCGTGACGCAAGAGAAAACCGGAGAAAAAAATGGCCGCGCGAACTCCTGGGGACGCCCCCAGGATTTCACGCGGTCAATTTTTCCTCGCGGTTTATTTACAATCTGCGGTCTCGCTCGACGGACTAAGTGTAGTCTAATACTGCGAAGTCAGGGAACAAGCTTCTCAGTGTCACCGCAAACAAGCCTGACATTTCCAATTCCCTTGTGTCACAGTGGAAGAAAGAAGCATTCTGAGGCAGACACAGTGACCGGATCATGTACGTGACAACCGAAGATCAGTGCTAGAGACTAAGACGCAGCTACATGCGAACCAGTTCCTGACATAGGGTGTAATCATGAAGAGGCTGATATGAGTATGGGTCTCCATGGTACTTGGGAGGCAGGTGCGTCATCCACTCTGACACTGATGTCTTTGTCCTACTGCTTGCTCAAAGCCAAAACCTTGGAATGTGCTACATGAAGAATGGAAGAGGTGAAAAGACCAGAATGAAGAAATTTCTTTAGTTATTAGGAGCTGCATTGACAAGCACTACTTCATGAAAGTCCTAATTGGCGTACACAAGATCACAGGCTGTGACACTCCCTGATAAGCAGTTCAGCTTCTAATTCTCCAGTACAGTGAAAGGTGCGTCTGAACTATGGCGAGGATTGGGAAGGAGTGAACAGTATCCGAAGAGATACTGGGGGAAGCACTCATGTGACAGCTGTACGAGAAGGAGTGCCAAAGTATGGATGCGCTGCGTTATGACGTCCACTGCGCCAGAGGCGGTAAAGTCTAGCCAGAGGCTTTTCGGCTATGAAAGTCATCTCTACGACGTTGCGTTACAAGATCAAATTATCAAGAAGCAATCTGTAGAGGAGCCGACACCACAGAGAAGACAGTTGAAATATGACGCTAGTAGCAGAGTATTTTTGATAATTTTTGAGGTTTTGGGAAAGGTGCTCAAACAGAGTCTTGTGTGTTTTATAGAACTTCTCGATCGGAACTAAAACTGAGGAGAAACAGAAAAATAAAATCGTAGAAATATCCGCTAAAACAAACAGTATCCAAACATCGTCACGGTCATGATTTACCGTGTTTAGGCTTGATTAATTGTTTATGAGTTTGAGAAGTTTTAGATCCAAATACAAGTGACGGTAGTGACAAAGGGCGTTATACGATCGGGACGTTACGTTTCTATACTCAAACGAGCTCTGCACTGAAGTGTGAACCTAGTTACATGTATATACGTTGAGTTATCGTATATTGGTTCATAGCGTAGTGTGCTTAATTAACTTACCGTAGAAAAAGGTGTTTTTCTAGTATTGTGATGTGGAGCACCTTATTGTTTTAGATGGTTGATATTGAGGTTGAATACACAAACTGGAAAAAAAAATGGCGACCATTGTGACGTAATATATGACGTCATCATGGCTTGAACAACCACAGACAATACTGAAATAATATCTAAGATACCATTTATTCCAAATATACGTCCGAAAATATTTAAAATTTCAAGATGGCGACCAAAAGGAGGGTATTGGGGGTATTTAAAATTCGATTTACAAAGTGAAAGCTACCGTTCTATCCTTGCTATCATGCATTTTTATGACGCTTAATAGTCAAAGATTAAGAATATAAAAGTTTCGTTTGTTCCCCTTTAGTGAGCCATACAGCCACCTCGGCTGATAGACTACTTGTATTATTAACGAAGGGCGTGGTTAGCTGCTTCACTATATCTGCGAAAGTGACGAGCTGAATTTGCTAAAGTTTACAAATTTGCTTACACTTTCGCCTACTGGGCCTGTTTGGTCCTCTAAGAGTCTAGAGAATAATCTTTGAATATTGCTATTCCATAGCTGAGTGGTATCTAAAGAAATTTGACGTCTCAACAGCCCACAGTCTTGAATCCGCCATCTGGAATTTCCAGGCTTCTTTTCTGACACCACATTTGTGAAAAATTGATAAAGGGTAGTGGAAGGTTACTAAAATTGTTTCGAACTCTATTCCGTGAGACAGTCAAAACCCAATGACATTGTCTAATATGCATAACAAAAAAAGTTCGAACAAAAACAATGGTGTACTTTCGCAGAATTTTATATGGTGCAACGGTGTTTCTCCTTGGTGTAGAAGTATTCCCTACAAATTGTACCAAACAATTTTACTCACGTGGGCAAGTTAGAATCTTTTTTATCGGGGAGCTTGTTCTTCCAGTCTTCATAAAGCGTCTCTTCAGAGTCTTTTGACCCTGGAGCTTGAATCTGTGGAAAGTGAATGCTATCAACTAACTGTTGCGACTGGACAAATTACCATCCTGAAAACTGCCTACTGATACTTTCATTCCAGCTATTGAGTCAAAGAAATAAAAAACATGTACCGTGTTTCTATCGAGTTATGAAAACACGAGTGGAAGTTTGGGAGAACGAGAATGCTGTGGGAACACGAGCCGCGGCGAGTGTTTCCTCAGCTTTTTCGAGTTCTCCCAAACTTGCACGAGTGTTTTTATAACTCGATAGAAACAAGGAGAACGTGTTTTCTATTTCTTTTAGAAACTTTCCGCGTATTTTCTTTGGGCTATTTTCTAAAATACACTGGTGCATAGCTCTAAAAGGAAGTTGAATCAGCTATCTTTGAGAGTTTTTTCTTTTCTTTTTTTTTTTTTTGCCGGAAACAAGAATATTGTGTTAAACAGCCATCTCACCTTTTTAGTTGCCTCCATAAAAGCAAATTCCAACAGAGGACTTGATTGGACCCTCAAAGTATAATTTCCTAAAATGAACAGATCATAAGAAATTCCCCTTACAGTTTCGATGCATTGATAATAATGCTAGTGAACAGAATAAAGACATTAACAGGTCTGGGTTGTTGACTTCCAAATGGTCAAAGTGTATGAAGTGTATTGTAGTAGCGAAAGAAAATTCACAGGTATATTCTCTACCATACAAAGCAACTTATCTGCAAAAGTACCTGCCTCATTAGTGTTCTCATACAATAAAAAATGTGTGCATAAATAAGGGACTCACCTACTTGAGGAGAGAAATTTCTTTGCTAAGGGAAAACCTGGCAATAGCAATGGCGTCACGCTAAAACTCTATGTTACCCATCGCCGGCTTACTATTTCATTATATCTCTTGCCTCGAATCGTTTGTGCGTAAATTAAAGTTACCTTAATCTAGGCATAATGAACTAGCTAAGCAGCGAACTAGAAAGCAAGTGGACGAAGGGAACTAACTGACCAACAAGCCAGTATTTGAGATTAATGAGAATTCCCTACAAGTACCACAGGGACCTAATAAAGTTAATGTTGAAAATTCCCAGTTATACCTTTCACAGCAACGTCTACATTGAGATAGACAACAGCTCGGTTAGAGAGGAGATTGGCAAAGTCCTGGAAAATTAAATATGAACAGATTGAACCATGGCTTATACTATCTATACAGGGGTTTGCTTTTTTTCTGTTTCTTTTGTTGTTGTTGTTTTTTGTTTTCGTTTTCGTTTTTGTTTTTGTTTTTGTTTAACTTAACGACAACACAGCTAGCCTGGCTTTGAATGGAGAAGAATCGAGATTCTCGTTAAACTGGTCAAATTTTGTGTCCGGCGTTTGATGTTTTTACCTATGTCCTCGCAAATTGCTGGATGGTTGTGTTCAATAGACGATAGAAGCCACCATGGTTGCTAGTCTTTCTATTATTATGTAAAATAGCCATGCTCTCTGCCAGGTGGAAGGGAGGGGGCAAACACTGGAAAGGCGACAGCTCTCGGAGACTCAACTCGTCCAAGCAGTTACGCATTTGAGCTGAAATCATTTTGCATTTCATCATCATGGCAGTTTGGAATATTCATAACCAATATCTCGACTTGCAAACAATGCAAGTCGCTTAGGCTTTAGAAATGTTCCAAAATTGCGTAAAATTCAAAATATTTTACCGAGCTTAAGTAATAACATAGTTGAGTGCGATGAGTGCGATTTTTCAAAAGTAATAAGAAAGAAGTTGATGAAATTTTCCGATTTTCATTTATTTGACCAATTAGAAATCCCGTGCCCAATTTGCATTATAATGCCAAAACAAGCACGGTATCTATCGTTAATAAGCTTAGGTCTCTTGAGACAAATTAAGGTTTTATACTTTGAGACTTTGCTCATTTACGTAGCATTTAAATGCCTGCAGTACTCACGAGCAAGTGGCTGTAAAGCTTACTTTCTCAATCTCCTTTCCGAATCGGATTGAATACTAGAACCATAATCATACTAAACCCCAACCTTTTTTTCTTTTCTGTCCCGATAAATTTGCATGGCTACTAGCTACGTAAGTGAAAACGCTCTATAGGCAACATACGCAGCTAGACGCGATTTTCCCAACAAAGGGCGCTAATTATCAACATGTTACGGCGTCTGCGCATGTCGGCTTATGCTTATGCTTAATATGCGCTGGTGAAGACCAACCTGTACAGTCACCGAGTAAGACGGTGGACACGATGTTCACATTACATGGTGTTTACTAACCTCAGCCCATTCAGTGGAGCCAAGCATACCATATTCCTCTACTCCCCAGCTGCAAAGCACTATGGTCCTGCGAGGCTTCCATCCTAAGAGACAGAAACAAAGTAATGAAATAACAAATCAGAAATCAGACAGGAAACTTCAAGTAACCAGCAAAAGTTTATTTTAATTGACGTTAATTTCAGGAAAAAAAGTGGAAAACTTGCGTTTTACATGTGATTCTCAGTAATATAACGATGGTGTTGATTTCGTGAATGAACAAATACCAGTCAACTTCGGAAAAGAACAAAACCCAACGTAGGGCTGAAATGACCGCTTTATCAGTTATAATTTTTTTACTAATTTTCTTCCTTTTCATAAGGTCAATGATAATATACTGGAGAACACGCATATGCCATTTTAGTACAATTTATTACAAATTCCCGTGATTAAAGCTACCTTCAGCCTTCATTTCTCCCAATTTCTTGGAAATTTCTATCAGGGCGGCGGTACCGCTGGATGCATCGGCGGCGCCAAAGGTCCAAGCGTCTCTGTGACTTCCCAGCAACACTAGACGATCTGGTTACAAAGGAAAGATGGCAAATAAGGTAAACTGGTGAAGTGCCTCATCATTTTCAAGGTATTAATTGTTTATAGCACACGCTCAGCATGTTCTTTTGGAATCTGATTGGTAAAAACGGTTGTTATCAAATCGCCCTCGTTTTCTACGAGATATAGTCGGCTCGGCTGTTCCTAGTGAACCGACTCGCTCAGAGAAAACTAAGGCTTTAATCAACTGTTACATAATTATTAAGCATTTGTCATGTAAACTACATAGAATGAAGATATGATACTCGAACGTCGTACCAGGTTCCTCTCGGCCAGTAATTGTACCGATAACATTGTATGCAGGTGTTTTTTCCAACTTCATTTTGATGTCGAGGCTGACATTTCTGTAAGAGAGGAAACACATATAACAAACTACACACAGCGTAAGACAACGTTATATTGGTTATTTTGCTAGACAAGTTTAAAAAACTATTAATAGTACTATTTTTCTCTTTTGAACAAAATTATTATTGAGGATAAAAAAGTATATGTAATTATTATACATTGAAGTCTCAATCCCTATTTTGTGATCCGCAGATAATTCTGGACAATTTTTTTTCTGTCGTGGTAATAATAAAATAACTGGTTTCGGTTTTGGTGATATTTGGTCTCAGTAAGTGTTATCAGCTGAAGCTGAAGTCTGAGGCTGATATCACTTACCATGCTCTCAATTATCTTGGATATCACGAAATAACCTTCGATTCAAAAGTTGGCTTCGAGAAGCATTATTCTACGAAAGTACCTTTTATCATCTGTTGCCATGGTGATGTTATACCTAATTTCCAGTCCCCCTTGCCAGTCTTTAGGAGCTTCGTTTACTGTTAGTAATCTGTGGATTTGAAGTGAACCTTAGTGGTAGGTAATCTTTAGAGCTGTTCGGCAGGGAAGAATAGACATAAGCTTTGATCTTGTTTTTACTTACTTCAAGAAATGAGCGGCGTCCTCATACGACACCGGGTACACTGGAATGCTGGGAAGGTGAAGTTTGTCTTCCGGCATTCTGTAGATGTCATCTGAAAAATAGTTGTTTTATTGATAAAAATAGTTTTCTAGAAGATAACTGTACCTTTCTGTTATTTTTACATATTATAGAGCTTCAAAGGGGCCTTAAAACATACCATTTTAAACTATTTGTGGACAGCTACTCATTGTTTTTGTAGTAGACATCACTGTTATTATTTTCGAACTGTACTTAGTTTTAAGCCCTTGTTCTTCTTGTATAAAGATTTTATTACTGATTTTATAGTTTTACATATTTCTTTGTAAAGCGCCATGAACGTTGGAATGGCGCTATATAAATGAAGTTGTTGTCATTGCTATTATTATTTACATTTTATGTACATGCTGACATTTTGTAATTATTCTGAATTCATAGTGAGGCAAGACTCCTACCTCTAGCAGGATACCCTGGGGTGAGTGGATCTCCTTGCTCGAAATTCAGGAGTGTTCCTCTTTGTACCCCCGAGGGGGGTAGCCACCAGCTCTTCGGGTAGGTAAAGTCGACACCTTCAGGACTGTAATCAACAGGGTCTGTGTACAAGATCAATCCAATGGCACCTTCGTCTGCCGCAATCCTGGCCTGAAAAAGAGATCATTTATATTTGCATTCATTCAAAGTCGCGAAGAGTGGATCCCGTTATTAGCATGCAGCTCATAAGGTTTGAGTCAAGTAAATGTCCGATCAGGACAACAATTTTGTTTCTGACGATTAGTCTTTTGCCCTGGCCAAACGGAGTCGCAAGTAGACCCAAGTTTGGCCAGCGCTTTAGTAAAGTTAATCGGTGTTAAACTCTCTCTATTGTTATTGTATTTTCTTTTGGCTTTAAACGGACGTAGCTTTCCGTTGAATTCGAAGTTTTTTCGGTTTTAATTTATCAAGTGGCTACTCTGAGAGGATTATTTACCCACCGTGTGTTTCAGTTAGGTGAACGATTCTTCGAATTTGGTGGGTCAGGGATAAATGGGTCGGACACTAAAACGGCCATTAGTGGAACACAAAACACCCCAAAGCGGGCCCTAAACAGCAGAATTGCTCACGGTTTTCGGGTGGTTTCAAACCACCCGAAAACCATGAGCAATGTAATGCGTATCAGATAGAGGATAGAAGAGTGCTCTAACCTCCAACACTGCTCTTTTTTGCTGTTAGCGCTTAAACATTTACCTGAGGCTACCGTTTTTGCAACTCATCGCTAATTTACTGCGAGCACTTGATAAACTGTTTAAGATAAAATTGCCAAAGTTTTTTCAATCGAAATTGCTTATTTCTTAAGTCAATTTCGTTGATCGCGAAATCTTTATGGGAAAGCGCTAAACTCGTGCTCTCTAAAAAAATACTCAGTTATCTATTAAAAAGGAAGCTATTTACTCCACTGACACAAATTCTAACCGATCTTTTTCCGAGAGGCTATGATCCTTATGCATAGCATCAAGAAATGAAATCGAGACCTCTGGGAGAAATTGAGGTGAGCCCCTATAAGTTACAGCAGCTGCTCTTTCTCTCTTTCTACACATGTTCAGAAACGTTATTGAACTTGACCGAGAACGCGCGGACTCTGGGGACGAGATAGAAGAGGAGAATGCACTTACTTTATCGCCTCTGTAAATCTTTCCATATTTGGCTATGACAATATGACCAGCAACGCTGATGTTCATTTCTTTGAGCTTCATAAAATCCTCCACCATCGCGTAATTTACGTACACCAGGTGGGCCTACAGTAGAAATAATGAATACGTACACACTAATAAGTTGAACAGTTTGTCGTCCTCTGATTCACACATAATGCACACTCTACCGCTTCCACTCTGCAAAGTTGTCGGTTGACTTTCACATTTTTTTTTCAACTTTGCAACGATACGGCGTGTATTACTGCAAATAAACTAAAATAGACTAAAACTATGATGATCACAATAAAATATCTTGATCGTAATTTGCGTGATGCCCCGCCGGGTGTGATTATCAAGTTTTTTCTAAAGTGAGACCCGTTTGATTCGTGATTAAACTAAACACGGTTAGGCACAGGCAGCCCAGACGTACTGTTTGTGGAATTAATTCATAAACAACCGAGCCAAAGTATACCTCTGATAGCGAAAAGCGATAAAATGCAATTTAAACCAGCCAAGATATTCAGGAGACATTCAGCTTAAGGTATACACGCTATGTTTTACAACTTGGACCGTTGACATAACTCCACACGGCTATGATGACAAGCGAACTAACCGAGTAACGCAGCAAAATAGACCGGGTATTGAACAGGGCAAAGAAACAAACAATGATATCAGTTAAAGCAAAACAATAATTATTTTGAACTATGACGAAAATACTTTGGCTGGATTGTTTGTCATGATAAATTAATTCCACAAACAGTACGTCTGAGTTTCCTGTGGTTTAGGTCTGTCTATGGCTGATCAGTGTGAACGCAGTATATTTACTTTTCCGCTCAGTACCAATGCCGTTTCTCGCTACAACCCGCTACTTCCATACTTACCGTAACATTTCCACTGCTTGAGTAAGCATTAAATGGTGGCAGTACATTTGAATCATTCTCTGATGATTCTAGAACTTTCTCCTTCCTCTGAGCTGTAAACAAAGTTGATCCATCTCCTGATTTAATGGATGCTATTCCGGGGGTCTCTGGATACGAAAGAAGCACTTCATATTTCTTCATTTCAACTTTGTCAAGTCCAAATTCTTCCCACTTCTTTTTGATGTGCTCTGCTTGTTCGTTGCTAAATGGCGAGCCACCTGGGTGAGGTGCCTTTGTGAGATATCTGAAAGATAACCAAAACATTATTTAAAGAAGCAATTGAAAATATAAAAATAAAACTGAAAAAAAAAAAACCCGATCACTTTTATTTTGACTCATACTCCTTCAATTTGTAGATCGTTGCCACTATGGGAGATCATTTGAGAGATAAATATACCCTCATACACTGCAATCAAATGCAATATAAAGCAAACCCCATCAACGTTAAGACGAAAACATTTTTTGCTCACATCTTACGGAAAATATTCCGCGCATTTCCAGAGAGACTTTGATTGTTTACCATTTACAGGGAGAAAACGGTTCGTTGTGCAAGCAAAAATGCTTGATGGTAAGACCATTTACCAGTGACTCAAAAAACCCCAATTTACCGAAAAAAGACTAGGACGAGTTTGACCTCCAAGATGGCGGTGAAGAATGTGGTTGGACATTTTCGACTACCTTTCAAGACGTTTCCGTTTATTCCGAAAAAATTTTTATGTCGGTCGAGCCAAAATCGTCTTAGCAGTTATATTCTGACAGAGCTTTACAGAATTTTGGAGTAAATGCTGAACAATGCTTAAGCTCTAACCGGAAACTAGCTTATAGCAATCTAGGCTTCATATCTAGCCGCTGTTCGGGACTTATTAGCAATCCTGTAGACGGAAGCAACAAGTAAAGTTCTAACTTCCAAGGACTCTCGCTGAAATTCATTCGACTACGAAAATTGACCCGGCCGGCATTCTTTTGTTTTTACCCTGATAAGAAATTTAACTGTGGCTAATAGACTGTATAATGTAATAGTCATCGATATCAAGGTACATGTATATTAAAAGCTTTGAGAGGAATCACCTAACTGTAATTATATTAAAGCTATCAGACTTTTAACCCCGAGTTATTTGTATGTGTGCACGTAAAGAAGGAGTTATGCCGTGATTTTGAATTCTCTTCCATTTCAATAATACACATCTTTAGACAAACTAACTTACCTTAAAAATCCCTCTATATTTCTACTTGAAATTCGATTAATTATTTGCATGTGGAGACTTTCAAGCACGGATGGCTCGGACATGTTATTTTGTAAACCCCCATGAGATAACAGTGCGACTTTGCAAGCGGGAATGTACTCTCTAGATATAAAGTATCCGCACATGGCTCCAAATCCACATGACAATAGAACAACAAAAATTCTCATTACACAACGTCTGGATCTCCATTTTGTTGGTATTATTGTGTTTGTTTCCGCTTCGTCGCGCTTCAGAAGTGAATATCTATTTCCGCCAAAATGTCGAGAAACTTCTTGCCGAGAAAGCTCCATGTCCGCCTGGGAACTAAGGAGCGGTTCCGTGTCATAATCATCGTAAATATACTCGTCTTCTACCGAAAAATCTTCTCTCAGTCCCACATCGCTGAAGTTAAATTCACTTTGTGTACCACGTGGGGAAGCGGATGAAGCCATTGACGCGGCAACAAAGATGCTTCGATAGTTTTGTCGCCCTCAATCTAACGTTGCTCACCAAAAAACAAAACACTCCAGCTCAACTCGAGATTTCTTTTGATTTTGATCTCACTCTTGAACAGTTCCCATGCTATTTAAAATCAAATAGATTTAGGATTCGTCGTCGATGCAAACTTTCGTAGCTTGGACAATAGCCGTGAGCCACCGGTAACTTCGTTCCATGTTTTTGTTGCAGGTATAAATGTCAGTGTTAATTTTTTTTTAGAAAACGCGTGTTAATACGTTCCAGTCCCTCTCGTTCAGTATTGGATCCAAGAATATACCCTTAGTTGTGAACGACCTGCTTTTAACTAGATCACGCGCGTTTAAAAGACCAAAGTATTCGGGTTAAAGTTGTGTGGATGTTTTCGAAAAAGATATCTAGAAAAACGTGAAAAACGCCCTTAGAATGATACGTAGACCGGGTCTTCACGCGTGGTATTGTAAATGTTTCTGAAAGGATCGTTACTGTAAAATTGCTATAATGTGTCGTGTTGCTCGCGTTTTGAAACGAATAATAAGTAAAACAAAGGCCGACAATCGAAGGGATAATTCAATTAACATTTTACGTTCAGGGCAGAGTTTAGATCAAGGTTATCCACAAAGAACAACATTGAAAATAAATTTCCGTTCAGTTTAGTCTCAGCGCTGCTGTCCATGGAATGTACCCTCGATTAAAAGCGAGCTTAATGAAAATAGAGCCAGACTGCTGGTTAAAGACTCTGCGAGATGTTAAGCGTCGCGCAGGAATTTAAAGGACTGCTGATCAACCATAACTAATTAATGAACGTCTTGACTGATGTTAGAAAAATGTTAACTTTGCTTTGTTTTGAATGGTTTTTTGTTTTGTTTGGTTTCTGTTTCTGTTTTTGTTTTTGTTTTTGTTTTTGTTTTTGCGTGTGTGTGTGTTTTTTTTTCAGTTTTTGTATTACTTAACATAATTGTATAAACCGAGAGAAGTCTGGTTTGAATTTGTCCAATAAGGAAAAGCCCAGAGTTCTATTTTCTATATCTCGACTCCTTACAATGGCTTAATTAAAGCTCTTGACTGTTTGAAAAGCCTTAATATGAATGTTTGCCGCAAATATGCCAAAGGTCGGAGTATGTTCCGCACTTTGAACATTTCAGAGTTGAAAACAATGCACCCTGGTTTGTCTCAGTACCTTTCTCTCCCTCTCTTCTCCAAAACTACAAACAACTTCTCGATGTTTCTTGCTTCTTGCAGGGGAACAGAGGAGACAAATGAATTCTTCCTGACATCTCCTGACAGACTCAGCCATCAGGCTTTCAACCCTGATACAAAACCTAGTCGTGCTTGTCCAAATCACTTTAATGCTCGCTGATTTAGGTCAATAGATCCTTCCACGCTAATTATTTTTGTTCTTTCTCCTATTTCGTTTCCTTTTTCAACGCCGGTTAGATATTGGCACAATACAGAAACCCTATCGGCAACGCTGGAAAGAGCACCTTAAAATGGACGACCATATCTTGCAACATTGTAATTACTGCGTGGTTCTCAGTGCGAAATCTGCATATTAAACTGGCGTTTGTTTGATGGGGTCACCGTCGTGGCCCCAAAGTATCAGCATCAGCGTCTGTAAAGTTTCCCGAATGTGCAAAGCTATAGCTTTGCAATTTTGCCGCATACGACTCACGAACTTGGCTAACTTACTAATACTAGCTGATACTGAGTTGTTCCCTTCTGCATTAACGACAGATTTTTGTTACATGGTCAAAACACTCTTAAACGCCACTTGCAGTAGCAAATTATAACATCTGTTTAAACATATTTCAAGCTTTCCTCTATCCGTTCTTTGGAGATTCCTTTGACTGCCTCCTTATGCTGTGATTCCGGAACTCCAGTTTCATATTTGTCGCGATGTGCTTCTTGTTCCTTGCAGCCTGGCTTGCCCGCTCGCCTTACAAAGTAACCCACGACGAAAGCAACTATGACCAGCACTATCACAACCACTACAATCGCAGCTAGGATTATCTTGCGTCGGCGTTGAGATTTGTTTTCCTCTTGTAGATTAAGAGTAACATCTTCGTCTACTTTGATAGACGTGAATTCCACTTTTTCAGACATTTTTGCAGAGAAGCACTAGCTGGGTGTTCGGATGCAATAACGCAAATAACCGCGGGGACGATTTAAATAGGTCCGTTGTGCATACCTGTGTGGAATCTGTCTCGTTTCGGATTGGGTACTAACAACTACATACATAGGCTGAGTCGGTCAAATCTCAAGGCGACACACCCACTGTAAAAATATTAAATAAATAATAAATAATGAAACGAATACTGAAATGAATACTGAAATAAATAAATAATGTATAAATAAATAAATAAATAAATAAATAAATAAATAAACATTTTAAGGACGTTCGCGCGAAAATTTTCCAACATTGATTTTTTTTTTTTTTGAGACTTTTACCACTGTAAGATGATGAGTTAGTTATGTCAGAAATGTAAAAGAAAAAAAAAATGCAGGGTCACCGACTTCGTTTTGGAGAGAACATGCCAGGAAGAACACCCTAAATCTGATAAAATCGGGCTTCGTTAGCGAATAAGGCCACAGTGTCTGTAAGCTCAAAAATATTGCAATTAGATCTTTGAAGTGAAATTTTCTCTGCCAAATATTGTTTAAGTGGACGTCCAAAATTTAGCTTATGCGCATGCACTAAATTAAAATATTTAACATTTTTGTACCTAATCTTAGGGAAATCTATCCGTTCGGGAAAATATAGCTTTTTCAGTAAAACTAAGGCCCATTTAGCGTCATGGCAGCCAAAAAAACTGATTTAAGGGTTAAAAACGGCATTTTTTTGGTGTACCCTTGGTCTTCAAATGGTTAAAGAACAAGTTCGCATTTAGCGACCATAGTTTCACGTGCCATGCAGCCGCAAGATAGCAGGATTCGATATCCCGTGGACAGAAGTCTTGAAATTTTTTTAACTTCCCACATTGATTTTTTGTTCATTTTTGGACAATGTGGAGATAATTGTAAATAAAATCTGTTTCTAGGAAAAAAAAGTAGGGGTCACCGAATGTCCAAGATCGTTAAATCCAGGCGAAGCTATAGCAATGGCTATCTGCCCAATCATTGCTCATTTTATTACTTAGCTTGCGCTCTCATGCATGACGTGGCGTGTGAATTTGCGTGCGAAGTAAGGATGCGCAGAAACAATTTGCGCGAACGTCCTTAAAGTACTAAATGAATCGAAAATAATTATTCAAAAGTGCTGACGGACTGGATTTCAAAGAATCTGAGGAACTAGAGGTAACTAACTCGACGGGAAGGCGTCCCAGTTGATAATAGTTTTTGGAAAATACGAAAAAAAAAAACGTTCTTCTTAGCATATGGGATTTTGAACTTGAATCAGTAGCTAGTTGTTGTGAGGCCATCTCCGTAATGAGCCAAGAGTTCTGAACCATCCATATTCTCAGTTCCACTGCATCACACCCAAGGCTTTATAAAAGCTCAATCGGAGACTGGCGATGGCAAGTACGTAAACCATTACAGATAATTGAAACCAAAGGATCAAAAGTGTGACGACATATAATTCTAACCTGACTTCGAACAATATATGTAATTTTTTTTTTTCAAAATGGCCGATTGGTCAGCAAAACCACAACAAATTGGAGCTAACTGATAGCGTGACAAGTAACCGTCGGTTCGCGAAAGCTTTTCCCTATGATTTCAGATGTCATGCAAAACGAGCATACTGTTTTGTATGACTAAATTTATTCGGCTTTTATCAACAGTCATTGGCAATGACTGTTACAGGCTAAGTAGATTTCAAGGTTTAGCATGAAAATGATAAGATTAACCAACCCATACTGAGTCAGGGGAAAATAGGTCCTCGTCGTCACTGCATTTTACTCCTCTTTATAAAAGTCTAAGAAAATGTTTGTAAATTGATTCGATGATTTGCATTAGCATCGTAAGTTTCAGAACAGGAGCCTATTTCCATATCTACTCGGAAATGTTTTTCCGTTTTGGTGCGTAAGGTCTAGTTGGTTCTCATCCAGACTTTAAGCTTTAACACACGAGACTATCAACACGACGGTCCGTTCTAATCGCTCCGAAATTTATGGGGGTAACCTTTCGATGATTTGTTAAAACAATCTGATTTGAAATTCGACCGAAGCCCACCAGGTATTGCTATGCTGTTTGAAATATCCTTGCTGAATTAACGACAGATGCGATGATACGAATCCTTCCAAAAACTGCAAAAATCAGTTTTGTTTCATACATGTTTTTCAGGGCTGTAGCACATTTACGGGGCTCCTTGTCGGAAAACTCTCAGTTTGCTTGGTCGAGACTTCGTGACCCTTTGAATGGAGCTGATTTAACGTCAGTGTAAATTATTTGGACTTAGTTTATACATTAGTCATGTCGAACCAAAGTGAAACAGCAATCTGAATGTGAGATTAGCCATTTCCGAGGAAATCTTTGAACTTCGGATCAGCTTCGTGGGTTGTCGGAAAATCCTCGGAGATCTTGGGAGGGCTTCAGATATTACCGTAATTCCGTGGAATATCCAAAGATCAGGGTTGACTGTTTGTCGGCGGCTAATGCAAGGTTTCGCTTATCTTGGGAAAACAGTTAAACACTTTGCTAATAGCCGAAATGTCTGCTCCAGAGAAACTGGAAATCGTTAATGTTCTTAGCCATAATAAAACGCCAGTTTCACAGGCAGGTGATCATTTACATGCAAAAAGGAAATCGAATACAATAGAGCAGGGAGCTAACCAGGTAAATATTTCAATCAATATTCGTGACCTTTTATTTTATGTTTTGATGTAGATTACCAATAAATTGTAAACCAGTTTCCCCCCCCCAAAAACGACTCGCTTTTGCCGTACCGAATTACTAGCCTCTTTCGTGAAAACTGAATAATAATATTCGACTGAAACTTAATCCCAGATTTCTGAAGCAAACTTTCCTTGTGGTTTTGTACGCATAAATGTATTGGCGATAATCAACTTAAGCTCAGGTCGGACAACTCTTGATAGCTTGAGCTTATCAAGACTTTCTATCAACAAAATAACTTTCAAGGTAGGAAAAATCAATTAAAGACAACCGAAATAACTAAAAAAAGTATTATCTGCCGAGGTGTGCTAAACAACCATTTGCCAGTTCGAGCTGACACTGAGGAAAAACTTTTTTTTTTCTTTCCGCCCTGCTAATACAAACAATATGGCTAACTTAAGGCAATAGAAGGCTAGAGGCGTGAATGCTACAATACCTGGTGTGTGCTGTAGCCTTTCAACTGGCCACCCTCAAATGACTAGTTTAGTTATAGACTTGTGTTCGTTGTTTAAGAGTCAAGTTCAATTTTTCCTTCAGATATATACCCTGATAATGTCACGAAAATAATTAACCGTGCAATATATATATATTTTTTTGCGTGATAAACACCTTATATCAGTCGTTTTGAGTTGGATCGATTTAAAAAAAAATGAAAACAAAATTGGACAACGATCGAAAGTTTCTTCACCGTCTGAAGATCGTTGGCTAGGAGTTCTCTCGGCGTTCGAGAATCAAAACAAACGAG